ATGGTGGTAGAAAACTGAGTGCGAATCATGGAGTGAAAATTAGAATATATTTTGTAAAAATCAGATTTTCGAGTCATCAAATAAACCCAAGTAAACCGATTGTAAGCATCCACAAAGCTACATAATATTGCGAACCACCCTTGGTAACTATAGGGGAAGGACCCCAAACATCAGTATGGACCAATTGAAAAGGAGAAGATGAAATGGAACTACTTTTATTAAAAGGAAGAGCAGACATTTTAGCTAGTTTACAACTACGACACTCAAAAATATCACTAATGGGAAAATTGCCTAAATGTCCAGACTTAACTAACATCCTCAACTGATCACTCGATAGATGACCTAACCTAGAATGCCAAATAAAAAACAAAGAAGACTTATTGTTTAAACAAAAAGAAGACAATGCAGTAGAAGACACTTCTAGAGGAACATGCAAGCTGTCCAAGATATATAGTTCTCCAACTCTACGCCCGATCCCAATCTGCCTCTTGGATACCCGGTCATGTACAACACAATGAGAAGAAGAGAAAACAACATCAAAACCGGAATCAGATAATTGACTAATAGAAATAAGACTGAATGAGAGGTTAGGCACAAAAAATACGGGAGAAAGAGACAAATGGGAACAGGAAATAGAACCAACAGAGTGTACAGGCATAGAAGAACAATTAGCAGTAGCAGTAGTGATAGAAGAAGAAGGAGAGACACAATTACTGAGGAGAGATGCAACAGGGGTCATATGATGTGAACAACCAGAATCAAAGATCCACGAAGTATGGATATTACCTGAAGAGGATGAACCAGACAAACCGAACTGAGTGGTAGTCATAGCGGAGGCTTGGGATGAAAGATTTGGATTGGCCACCATGAAAGACTTGAACTGCTCAAACATAGACTGCATATTGGAAGATGGATCATTCTCAGAAATTGGTGTAGAAAAGGCGACAAATGAGCGAGATCCTGAAAATGTCGGCTTAGCGAATGGTGAACCAGATAAACGACCCTTAGGCTGCAAAAGTTTAGGACATGCATGTTTCTAATGGCCTTTCTGATGACAGAAGCTGCACTCATCCATGGAAACCCGAGGCTTGGGCTTACCAGTAACTTGAAATAAATGAGAAGATGGGGTAGGCAAGAGCGGAGGAGTGGAAAAAACTGACTGGGACGCAGGAGTACCATGAGCCACCTTAAACCGAGTTTCTTCCGCAATAAGCTCATGGACAACACCATCCACAGAAGACAAGGGAGACCGATGAAGAATAGCTCCCCGAAGTGGCTCAAATTGATTACGAAGGGCCATAAGAAATTGAACAAGATGTTGTTTCTCCCGATACTTGATATAACTGTCAAGTAACTGCAAATCGGACGGTTCCATCAAAGCAAGCTGATCCCAATAAGTAGTCATCTCATTGTAGAACTCCTGAATGGACTTATCTTTCTGACTAGCACTGCGAATAGACATCTCAAGTTCATACTGCTTTGCAAAGTTAGACTCAAGGTACATAGTCTTCAAATAGTCCCAAACTTGTTTAGAAGTAGAATACTTGGAAAAATTCATACCAATGGTAGTTTGAACTGAATTATGAAACCAAGTAAGAATTTGTGCATTTTCCTTATCCCATTTAGCAACATCGGCCTCAGTTTCTTGAGATTCCACAGGTCTAATAGTCATACCAATAACATAATTCCACATACCTTTACCCATTATAAAATTTTTCATCACATGAGACCAATAAGAATAATTGGTACCATCTAATTTAGTAGTAATAGCTTGCAATTTATCATCAGCCATATTGTATACCCAAACTACAGTGCATTCAAAACAGAGTGAAAGGCAGCAGAGAAGAGAGAGAGATGAATGACCTGTCAAGAGTAGCAATGCACTCTTCTCATAACCACGGCAACCTATACACCAGAGAGCAGTGATGGAGGTTCACCGTTTACAAGAGCTAGGTCGAAATAGAGAGAAGATCAGCGAGATACCCAACCTAGGTCTCCGAATGAACCAGAACCAAAACCAGCAAGTGAGACGAGCTGTTTCGATGACGACCTTGCGAAGAAAGAGACAGAGCTGCGATGGCCTCGCGAAGAGAGAGACAGAGCTGCGATGGCCTCGCGAAGAGAGAGACAGAGCTGCGATGGCCTCGCGAAGAGAGAGACAGAGCTGCGATGGCCTCGCGAAGAGAGAGACAGAGCTGCGATGGCCTCGCGAAGAGAGAGACAGAGCTGCGATGGCCTCGCGAAGAGAGAGACAGAGCTGCGATGGCCTCGCGAAGAGAGAGACAGAGCTGCGATGGCCTCGCGAAGAGAGAGACAGAGCTGCGATGGCCTCGCGAAGAGAGAGACAGAGCTGCGATGGCCTCGCGAAGAGAGAGACAGAGCTGCGATGGTCGATGATGACCTGCGAGGTATGCTACTGTTTGTAACCTTGCTCTGATACCATGATAACAGATGACAAAACTTGTGTATATAGATTAATCAAAAGAATTACAAGAAGCAATCCAACCAAATCAAGAAATAGAGTCAGGAAAGGAAAGAACTACTCAAGGGAGTCCATTCCTAGTAGGAAGAGCAATCATTAGAGAGCAAGGCAAGCGTGGACATTAACCCTCACGGTTTGGGTACACAGTGAATAGAAACTATTCTGTCAGGCTGTCTGGCTGTCTCTCTCAACTCTTTTGTGCTTCGTTCTTATTCTCTTCTGATCCTTTCTGACTTCAGGTATTGGAATGTAAATATTTATCATGAAGTATGTAAATATTAAATTAAAAGATAAAATTGTGTAGCTATTAGGTTTAAAAGGGAAGCCTTCTGTGTTTTGGCATTCTCACTCAAATTGTTAGTAGTAATTAGATTGAGATCTCTATACATGGGTTATATACATTAATCAGGATAGTCAAGCACTGACGGTCTTGTTGGTTTCTGTTCTTCCAATCAATAGTTTTACGTGAGGGTCCATCCCTTTTCATTTGCTTCAAATGAACTAAATTGGAATGGTTAGCAGAGGTCCCATGTTGTACGATGTTTATCAATAATAGTCAAATATGGGTACATCATGAATTGGAAGATGCAAAGAATCAAAAGTAAGCAGAACGTAGAATACTTTGGTTGCATTTTTTTTGAACAATGTGCATACCTTTTAAAGTAGTTTAGGTTTTAAAGTAAAAGATTCTACTTAATTTTTTTTCTTCTTATTATGCCCCTATATACACTCTTTAAGTCCATTTTTTGAATGTTGAAATAGATTATACTATGATTTTTTAATAATTGTTTGGTTGGTGAGATTTGGACACCCACATTTCTTACTATGAATCCAATTTCTTAACAATTAGACGGTGTTATCATGTCCTTATATAAGACCTATTTTATAATGTATCAAAATCATTTTTTTTGGTCCATATATACAATTGTTCAACATATATTTTTAATTTTTTTTTATTATTATTATAGTTTGTACTAAATCTTAATGATTCTCTATTCGATTCACTATTCACAAATTAGTGTATCGATTCACGATTTGCAAATTAATATATTGATTCGCGATGTAATTCTTGATTCGACTACTATAGTTAATACACCTCAAATTACACAAGATCTAGCATAAGTTGAAAAAGATTTTTCACAAAAAGAATTGTCACTTGGTAGGCATTGTAATGGGGAAACTCACTAAAACTTAAGGTTTCAATGATAATTGCTATATAAGGAAAAGGATTCACATGATTTAAGTTACTGGAGGAAAAATCTAGCTAGACACTGTCAGCTGAGGTGAGGCATCACCATTGGTCAGTGCTGACTTGTCTAGCATTTGACAGAAGCAGAAGGCCATGTCAAATGGTGGTTTCATTATGATAATGATGATTTTAGTTGTCAAGACAAAGGTTGGAAGCAATCCAATCAAATCAAGAAATAGAGTTAGGAAAGGAAAGAACTACTCAAGGGAGTCCATTCCTAGTAGGAAGAGCAATCATTAGAGAGCAAGGCAAGCGTGGACATTAACCCTCACGGTTTGGGTACACAGTGAATAGAAACTATTCTGTCAGGCTGTCTGGCTGTCTCTCTCAACTCTTTTGTGCTTCGTTCTTATTCTCTTCTGATCCTTTCTGACTTTAGGTATTGGCATGTAAATATTTATCATGAAGCACGTAAATATTAAATCAAAAGATAAAATTGTGTAGCTATTAGGTTTAAAAGGGAAGCCTTTTGTTTTTTGGCATTCTCACTCAAATTTTTTTAGTGCGTTGAATGAAGATGCAAAAGCTCTATAACTAATGTCTAGATATTTAGGTAGGCTTGTAGTGTAATGGGGAAACTTGCTAAAACTTAAAGTTTCAATGATAATTGCTATCTAAGGAAAAGGAGTCACATGATTTAAGTTACTGGAGGAAAAATCTAGCTAGACACTGTCAGCTGAGGTGAGGCATCACCATTGGTCAGTGCTGACTTGTGTAGCATTTGACAGAAGCAGAAGGCCATGTCAAATGGCGGTTTCATTATGAAAATGATGATTTTAGTTGTCAAGACAAAGGTTGGAAGCAATCCAACCAAATCAAGAAATAGAGTCAGGAAAGGAAAGAACTACTCAAGGGAGTCCAGTCCTAGTAGGAAGAGCAATCATTAGAGAGCAAGGCAAGCGTGGACATTAACCCTCACAGTTTGGGTACACAGTGAATAGAAACTACTCTGTCTGTCTGTCTGTCTCTCTCTCTCTCAACTCTTTTGTGCTTCGTGTTTATTCTCTTCTGATCCTTTCTGACTTCAGGTATTGGAATGTAAATATTTATCATGAAGCATGTAAATATTAAATTAAAAGATAAAATTGTGTAGCTATTAGGTTTAAAAGGGAAGCCTTTTGTTTTTTGGCATTCTCACTCTAATTTTTTTAGAGCATTGGATGAAGATGCAAATGCTCTATAGCTAATGTCTATATATTTAGGATGCAGCAAATCCACTCCACTATCCACTTGTCTACATTTTTAATCATTTTTGTGTGTGTGTGGCAGGAACTGATGCATCATGTAGGCCTTTACATGGCTAAGGGAAGGGGAGCCAAGGTGGTGTCACAAGTGTCATTTTGATATGCATGAAGAAACCAGGACCTTAAACTGGTGTGTCTGTTGAATCTGCAATTCAAACTTTCTCAAGTTTGGAGGGGAAGCTCTTAATATTGTAAATGCTTTCATATGGTTGTCAATATATCAGTAAACTATTTGTTGTTTTACGTATGTGTTTGGGCTTGTTTGCTAATACAATAATCTTGGGCTTGTTAGCTAGTACAGTAATCACTTTGAAGTAGATTTGAGAGAGTAGTGTAACCTCTGTGAAATATGTATAAAGTTGGTGTTTGTTGGTTCAGAATTCCACATCAAATGCTATTTTATTTACACTCCAATGCTCTACTGCTATTGATGCTGGTTTGTGTCTGTCTGTAAGCAGCATAGCGTTTCTTCATGGTTGCAAGTTGCAAGTTGCAACCAGCAATATAATATATATATATATATCCCCTTCCTTTGGAATAATTCTTTGCAGAGAAAATTTTATTTTGCCCCTCAAACTGTCGCTTAAAAATCAATTCAAACTTGCACTTTCAATTGTATCAATTTTACATCTAAAATATTCAATTTTAGATCAATTTTTTTCCGTTGTCAATTGCCGTTTAAAATCAAATGGAATTTGTTGATGTGGCACTAGATTTCATTTATAACTTCATTTTACCCTCCTCAAAGTATACCTCAAAAATCAGTTAAACTCCCGAATAAAATATAAAAAAAAAACTTCCAAATAAAATATAAAAAAAAAAAAAAAAAAAAAAAATTGAAATATTTAATTGTTAATTTTTATCTCAAAAATGAGAAAAATAAATTTATATAGTATACGTTACAAAAAAAAATAATTAAAAAAATATAAAAATTCTCATTTAGAATTGTCTCTTTTAAGTCTCGAATTACCTCGAGTCGATTTTGGTGAATGTAATTGAGTTCAAAATTCCTTGGCTACTCTCTTTGTATATGTGTGAGCGCATGAAGTGTAGTTAGCTTATTTCGTAAATTAATATTAATAGGATTGATAGACTAATAGTAATTTTAAAATTGGGTGGGTGAAAATTTAGACTACACTTATTATGAGAGAAACATTTTTTTTCTGATATTTGAGAAATTATATTGAATGATGAAAATAAATATGTCGAGGTCTCTACTTAAAAAATCGAGATTAGTACCTACTTGGTCGTATTATGAATTTAATGACAATTTAAGATAAAAGTTAGCAATTTTTTTTTTTGTTTTTTTGGGTGAACACAAAAGTTACAATTACTATCTAAAGAATACTCAACAACAACAATACTTAATTCTTGTTTTAATTTTAAATTTATTTTGCTCACTTTTTTAGATGAAAATTTATTATTAAGTATTTAAATTTATTTTTTTTTCTATATTAGGGGTTTAATTGATATTTGTGTAATAGTTTGGGAGGTAAATTGATGTTTTAAATAAAGTTTGGTACCCGTTAATAAATTTGATCTAATTATAGATGACATCCAACGACATGAGTAAAATTGATCTAAAATTGAATAATTTAAGTATAAAATTGATATAATTGAAAGTATGGAGATTGAATTTATTTTTGAGTGATGGTCTAAGGTGCAAAATGAAATATTTCCTTTTTTGAATGAGCATGAGGATAAATTTTTTCTCTTTCGCATCATGTGCATCTGTTTGGTAGGAAATACAATACCCAAATCAAATCAAACCAAACCAAACCATACCAAACCAAGCCTTAAGTCTCATCAAATGGGGTTGACTACATGAATCATTCTTCTCCATGTGACTCTATCAAAGGCTATTTTGTTAGTCAAATTAAGTAGATTCATATCTCTATTTACAACGCTAACCAACGTTAATCTAGGCTTACCCGGTCCTCTAACACTTCCATCTACCGTCACTGTGTCGCATCTCTTCACTACTATCTCTGTTGGTCTCCATTGAATATGACCAAACCATCTCAATCGATTCTCTCTCAACTTATTTTCTATCAGTGCTACTTCTGCCCATTCCCAAATACACTCATTTCTAATTTTGTCTTGTCTTGTCTAGTCTTGCCACACATCCACCTTAGCATCCTCATCTCAGTCACACTCATCTTATTTACATGTTGTTTCTTGGTTACCTAACACTCCGTCCCATATAATATCGCTGGTCTAATAGTCATTCTATAGAACTTACCTTTTAATCTAGTGGGTATTCGTTTATCGCACAGTATCCCAGACGCACTTCTCCACTTACACCATCCCGCCTTAATCTTATGGGCCACATCTATATCAATATCGCCCGCTGTTGTGATAATCAACCCTAAATAATGAAAATGTTCACTCTTAGGTAGTTCTTGGTTATCAATCTTCACTTCTCCTTTACTTTCATTATTACTGTTACTAAATTTACACTCCATGTACCCTGTCTTAGTTCTGCTTATCTGAAATCCTTTAGATTCAAGTGCTTTTCTCCAAATCTCTAACTTTGTGTTAATTCATTCTCTAGTGTCATCTACTAGCACGATATCGTTTGCAAAAAGCATACACCATGGCACGTCATCCTGAATATTTCTTGTCAACTTATCCATAACTAAAGCAAAAAGATAAGGACTTAAGGTGAATCCTTGGTATAACCCTACAATGGTAGGAAAATCATTTGTCTCTCCAACAGGCAATCTAGACCCCTTCATACATGTACTTAATCATATCAATGTAACCTTTTGTCACTCTTTTCTTCTCTAACACTCACCATATTATATCCCGAGACACTTTATCATATGTTTTTTCAAGGTTGGTAAACACCATATGAATGTTTCTTTTCTTTTCTTCATACTTTTCTATTACTCTCTTCAAAAGATAAATTGCTTCCATGGTTGACCTGCCAGGCATAAACCCAAATTGATTCTCTGACACTTCTGTTATATCTTGCAATCGGCATTCCATCACCCTTTCCCACACTTTCATTCATTATATGACACATTAACTTGATTTCCTTATAGTTGTTTCAATTCTAAACATCTCCTTTATTCTCATAGATTCACATTAAAATACTCTTCTTCCACTCATCTGGCATGTTCTTAGTCAACAAAATTTTGCTAAACAATCTAGTCAACCAAGCAACCCTTTTTTTACCAAACACTTCCAAGCTTCAGTAGAGATATCATTGAGTCCTAAAGCCTTATTTGATTTCATCTTCTTAAGTGCAATCTCTACTTCAAAGTTCCTAATCTTGCGATAGAACCTATAGTCTTGGTTTATCTTATTACTGGTTATTTCTTCCCTTATTGACGTACCTCTATATTCCTCATTTAATATTTTCTCAAAATAGTTCTCTTATCTTTCCTTAATCTCTTCATTCTTCACCAATACCTTCAAATCCCCACTCTTAATACACTTAACTTGATTAAAATCTATTGTTTTCCTCTTCCGTATCTTAGCAAGTTTGTATACCCTCTTTTCTCCCTCCTTACTATATAGTCTGGTGTATAGGTCATCATAAGCTTTTAACTTCGCTACTCTCACTACTTTATTGACCTCCTTATTAGCCAATCTATAGTTCTTAAGGTTTTCCTCAGTTCTATTCTTCTGCCACTTTTTAAAACTCTTTTTTTCCTTAACTACCGTTTGAACCTCTTCTTTCCACCACCAAGTTTTCCTAGAGCTGGGTCTCGTTTCTTTCGACTCTCAAAACATTTCTCTTGAGATTCTCCTCATACAATTGGCCATCGAGTTTCACATAGTGTTAGCATCATCTTCCAAGTCCCAAGTACCTTCCTTATCCATTTTATTCTTAAATATTTATAATTTATCCCCTTTTAGATCCCAACATCTCGTCCTACGATGCCCACCATCCTTTCTAGCTTGGTATTGCCCTTTAAAACATAAATCTGATAACAGATGAGAAAACTTGTGTGTATTGATTAATCAAAAGATGTACAAATATATAAGCGCTAATAAAATGAAACCCTAACAACCTAAAGTACTAAACTATCGTTAATGAATAATATAAACTACATAATTCACACCCCTCCTCAAACTGAGGATGCGAGCGCAGAAAGTATCGAAAGTTTGCCAAGAAGAAAACGAAAACGAGCAACAGTATGAGTCTTCGTAAAAAAATTGGCCAACTGAAGAGAGGAGGGAACAAAAGGGAGAGTAATAGTGCCAGCCTGAAGATGCTCTCTGACAAAGTGACAATCTATTTCAATATGCATGGTCTGCTCATGAAAGACTGAATTATGGGCAATCTGGACAGCACTCTAATTATCACAATACAACTGAGTCGGATCAGAAAGAAAGACACCCATATCAGAAAGAAGCCAGCGAAGCCAAACGATCTCGGAAGTAGCATGAGCCATGGCACGATACTCAGCCTCAGCGGTGGAACGAGCAACAATAGACTGTTTCTTACTCTTCCAGGATATGAGGGAATCACCGAGGAAAACATAAAGACCAGAAGTGGATTTGCGATAAGAGATGTTACCTGCCTAATCAGCGTCAGCATAGGCACGGAGAGTCAAGTCCGAAGAGGCAGATAATAGCAAACATTGTAACAAAGTGCCACGAAGGTAACACAGAGTACAAAATAAGGCAGCCCAATGTGTGGAACGAGGAGCAGAAACAAACTGACTGAGAATGTGCACAACATAGGAGATATCCGGACGAGTAACGGTGAGATAAACAAGTCATCCAACCAACTCGCGATACAAAGTGGGATCCTCAAGAGGAAAGCCATCAGAAGTAGAAAACTCAGCATGCAACTCAAGAGAAGTGTCAACGAGAAAGAATATCACGGGCATATTTAGTCTAAAAGAGAAGATACCCAGTAGGAGAAGTAACAACTTCAATACCAAGAAAATATCGAAGAAACCCCAAATCCTTCATCTCGAACTCCTGAAAAAACTAATGCTTAACCTCCTCAATAGTACTATAATCAGAGCCAATGATGATCATATCATCCACATATAAGAGAAGGAGAACAAGCCTAACAAAAGCGCGCCGAACAAAGAGAGCACAATCATGATGACTAGGGCGAAAACCAAGTTGAAGGGAAACAGAGTGAAATCGCTCATACCAAGCACGAGGAGACTGCTTGAGACCATATAGAGCACGACGAAGACGAAAAACAACACCAGGAGGGTGAGAGAGACCTGGTGGAGGGTGCATATACACTTCTTCAGCAAGATGCCCATTCAGAAAAGCATTTTTGACATCTAGTTGAAACAAGGGCCAATGATAGGCAGCGACAACAGAGATAAGAGTACGAACAGTAGTCATCTTGGCAACGGGGGCAAAAGTCTCATCGTAATCAATCCTATACTCTTGAGAAAAGCCTTAGGCAACTAGACGAGCTTTGTACCGTTCCAAAGACCCATCAGAAAGGGTTTTGACCTTATAGACCCATTTACAGCCTACAACATTCTTGTCAGCAGGTAATGGAACCAAATCCTAAGTCTGAGTGTTAGCTAAAACAGTTAACTCATCATTTATGGCGGCAATCCAATTGGGATCATGACAAGCTTCCTTGTAAGACTTGGGCTCAAAATATGTATGAAGACAAGAAAGAAAAGATTGATAGGAAAGGGAAAAACATGTATTACCAAAACCATACCAGTTCAGAGGATGACGATCTCACTTTGGGAAGCGATGTGCAGGAGGAGCGGGATCCAAAGAAATAGCTAGAGGGACAGTAGAGCTAGAGACAAGTGAGCTCAGAAGTGCTTTGCGGCATTGATAAACAATAAGAGGAGCATGAGAAACAGGAGTTGGAGATGAGGTAGCTGGAGAGGTATTAGAAATGCTAGTAAGAGGCAAAGTAGAGACCTCAAGGTCAGAAACAAACTCATCAGGAGAAACATTAGGAGGAAATGGGTCAACATGAACCAATTCATCCTTAGTAATAGGAACAGGGGTGGAAAATATAGTGTAGTAGGGTAGTTTTTCTAAAAAAGTGACACGCCTAGACACATATAGCTTTTTGGTGGCAGGATCATAGTACCGATAACCTTTCTGATTATCGATCACTCGACAGCTTGCATGTTCCTTTCTGATTATAGATCACTCGACACATGACCTAACTAACATCCTCAATCGATCACTCGACAGATGACCTAACCTAGAATACCAAATATAAAACAAAGAAGACTTATTGTTTAAACAAAAAAAAGACAGTGCAGTAGAAGACACTTCTAGAGGAACATGCAAGCTGTCCAAGATATATAGTTCTTCAACTCTACGCCCGATCCCAATCTACCTCTTGGATACCCGGTCCTGTACAACACAATGAGAAGAAGAGAAAACAACATCAAAAACCGGAATCAGATAATTGACTAATAGAAATAAGACTGAGTGAGAGGTGAGGCACATAAAATACAGGAGAAAGAGACAAATGGGAACAGAAAATAGAACCAAGAGAGTGTACAGGCATAGAAGAACCATTATCAGTAACAATAGTGATAGAAGAAGAATGAGAGACACAATTACTGAGGAGAGACGCAACAGGGGTCATATGATGTGAACAACCAGAATCAAAGATCCATGAAGTATGGATATTACCTGAAGAGGATGAATCAAACAAACCGAACTGAGTGGTAGTCATAACGGAGGCTTGGGACGAAAGATTTGGATTGGCCACCATGAAAGACTTGAACTGCTCAAACATAGACTGCATATTGGAAGATGGATCATTCTCAGAAACTGGTGCAGAAAAGGCGCCAGATGAGCGAGATCTTGAAAATGTCAGCTTAGCGAATGGTGAACCAGATGAATGACCCTTAGGCTGCAAAAGTTTAGGACATGCATGTTTCCAATGGCCTTTCTGATGACAGAAGCTGCACTCATCCATGGAAACCCGAGGCTTGGGCTTACCAGTAACTTGAAATAAATGAGAAGATGGGGTGGGCAAGAGCGGAGGAGTGGCAAAAACTGTCTGGGAAGCAGGAGTACCAAGAGCCACCTTAAACCGAGTTTCTTCCGCAATAAGCTCACGGACAGCACCATCCACAGAAGGCAAGGGAGACCGATGAAGAATAACTCCCCGAAGTGGCTCAAATTGATCACGAAGGGCCATAAGAAATTGAACAAGATGTTGTTTCTCCCGATACTTGATATAACTGTCAAGTAACTGCAAATCGGACGGTTCCATCAAAGCAAGCTGATCCCAATAAGTAGTCATCTCATTGTAGAACTCCTAAATAGACTTATCTTTCTAACTAGCACTGCGAATAGACATCTCAAGTTCATATTGTTTTGCAAAGTTAGACTCAAGGTACATAGTCTTCAAATAGTCCCAAACTTGTTTAGAAGTAGAATACTTGGGAAAATTCATACCAATGGCAGTTTGAATTGAATTATGAAACCAAGTAAGAATTTGTGCATTTTCCTTATCCCATTTAGCAACATTGGCCTCAGTTTCTTGAGATTCCATAGGTCTAATAGTCATACCAATAACATAGTTCCACATGCCTTTACCCATTATAAAATTTTTCATTACATGAGACCAATAAGAATAATTGGTACCATCTAATTTAGTAGTAATAGCTTGCAATTTATCGTCAGCCATGATACTATAATTAGGCAACACAGTATAGTCAAAGCAGAGCCACAATTAAATATCCAGAGTTACTATTGCTATAATTAAATAATCAGTGAGGTCAAACTTATAATAACCATTGTGACCCAATCATCCTCAAATAGCAATCAGAGAGAGAACCAAGGCAATGCAAAGAGAAAGAGAGAGAGAAACTAAACCTAAACCCAGGTCTAGAGCGAAGTCGATTTCAAATACCAAGTTTGGAGCGAAGTCGAGCACAAGATCAGACTTTGCTTTGATCGTGTGAACCAGAGGGAGAGACAGATTACCAAGCAGAGTCACACAGAATCAATCGAATCAGAGGTACCAGTCGAGGGGTCGAGCTTCGAATTGCGACGAAGAGAACAGAGAACCCCCGACGAAGGCCTTGCGTAGAGAGAGAAAGGGGCTGCGATGGTGCGATGGTCGATGCTTTCTGCGAAAGGTATGCTAACGTCTGTAACGTGGCTCTGATACCATGATAACAGATGAGAAAACTTATGTGTATTGATTAATCAAAAGAAGTACAAATATATAAGCGCTAATAGAATGAAACCCTAACAACCTAAAGTACTAAACTATCCTTAATGAATAATATAAACTACATAATTCACAAAATCTAGTACCAAAATCATATGCTGAGAGGGCAGGCTGTCTCTAGGAATCACCTTACAATCATTGCATTTTAGGCGGTCTACTTTTCTTACTAAGAAGTAATCTATTGAGCTCTTAACTGATCTACTTTTAAAGGTTATCAAATACTCGTCCCTCTTCTTATACATAGTATTAGCCACCACCAGGTCAGATGTCAACACAAAATCTAATATACTCTCTCCAACCTCATTTTTGTCACCAAAACCGTATCCACCATGCACCCTTTCATAGCCTAGTTTATCTATGCCTACATGGCCATTAAAATCTCCACCTATAACCAGGTTTTCTCCTACGGGTATCTCTTGTAAGATCTTATCCATTTGCTCCCAAAAATCCCTCTTAGTCTGATCATCTAATCCTACATGAGGAGTGTATTCACTAATAACGCTCACTATATTCCCTCCAATAACTAGTTTAACTAACATAATCCTATCTCCTTTCCTAATGACCGCCATTACATTCTCCACAAGACGGCAATTATGATTCTTAACCCATTCCTGCGTCTATCCTGGGAAATACAATAATAAGCTATTTTTTTTCTCAATAATTACTTCAACACAAATAAGCAGAGCTATGTAATTTTAGTGATTTATATGTTTTCACTTGTCCTGTGCTCTAGTGATTGATATGGTCCTTCTGTCTGCTACATTTTGGTTGGATTAGAAAACTTAGAAGAAAACAATATATATATTTGTCAAGAAAATAATATAAAGTTTTGTTTAGTAATGTATAAATGTATAAAGTAATTCAATTCCTATGTTTTATTTAAAATTTTCATTTCTTTTGAAAAATTCAAGATCCAAACATGATCTAGAAGGTACTCGCAAGTCATAGCAAACAGAACTATTGAGCTTTTACAATTTACTGAGATATGCTGTGTCTGAAGTAGTTGTAGACCATCTTGTATTGTTCTCCCAGTTCCCTCATGTGATGATGATGATGATGATGATGATGATGATGATGATCACAAACAGATGTTGTCCTACTCAAAGCTGGTGCCTATATGTTATATATACTATTATTATTGAAAGTTGACTTATCATTAGGATTTTTCCAACAAGATGGAAAGCTAGAGAACTGCAAGAAAGGCCTAAATAAATAAATGAAAAAGAAAAAAGAGCAATTTGGAAGGGCTTGTTTTGAAACTTCCAAACTTTTGAGTGATCCCAAAATTCACGGTGGTTCAAAATGGACTTCAATTAGCCACAAATTCTATTGGATTAATCCTATTAAACAAAATTCCACCTTTTAAGCATCATTTTAATTTATAAATGCAGGAAACCTTATAGGGTGTGTAACATGCAGGGCTGGCCATTGGGAAAGGCAAGGAAAGTGGCTGCCTCAGCCCCCCAAATTTTGATAAAATTTAACCACCCCAAATAATTTTAATCCTTATAGAAAGCTCTTTTAAGCTTTTTGTGGCTTGTCCTGCATCGAAAACATGAGAAAAAAGATAAGTTAATAAACATTCGTGTGGAATATTCTCTTGAATAAAGAATTGTGGGAAAGGTGCTAGATTGTATGCTCAAAAAAAGTTCTGATGAAACAAAAAGAATGCAATCTCGAAGGGCTGAAAAATCTTTGTTGATTTGATACTTCAAACTTTGAACAATGTATGCAGTGTACACAATCATACGTACATCTCCCAGTTCAAAAACAAAGAAGAAAACCTTTCTATCCACCCAAAGATCATCCCTAAGAAAGAGGAAAATGGAGAAAAACAAATTAAATTTTATACTCTACAGTGAAAGCCCAGCTCTTAGATCATGGTACTTTCTATGATGCATACAGGCGAATATTGATGTCTTTTTCTTTGGTTTAGTTCCAAAGATGAATGACCGTAGAGGAACTCGAGTCCGGCTCGTTGAGTGCCTCAATTGTGGTTGATCATTGTTTTTCGATCCAGAGATGTCAAATTCCTCATCCAACTTTGCAAGGGTATTCTCAATTTCCTGTTGGAGTGTGGTTACATGATCCAAACCTGTTTGCAGTTCATCTCTAACCTTGTTGTTCTCTTGTTTCATGTTCACAACCTCGCCTTGGAACTTTGCAGCATCATGACTAGTGAACAACATTTCTTCTTCTTCCGCACCTTCTGTCAACGCATTTGTTATTTCTTCTTGAATGTTGCACAAGGATGAGAACCTGCGCTGCAATTCATCTTTCAACGATGTGCTTTGTTCTATCCAGCGTGTCAGTTCAGTTTGTATCTCTCTCAGGTGCTTGTATATTGGCCGGAGATCTGATTTTGTATCTGTTGTAGCATTAACACTACCCTCTTGACTCGACTTTTCCTTTTCCTTGATTTTTGATATTTCAGCTTGTAAATCTTGGAACCCAGTTTTAAATTTCTGTATTTGATGGAATGAAGTGCTGAATCTTAACCAAAAATCTAGGTTCTCATCCAGTAGTGCATCAATATTTGTCCGGAGCTTTTCTTCAATTAGTGAGATGGATCGCTGTTGATAAATCAAAATCAACTCGACATCTTCTTCTTCCTTCTTTATCAGAGGAACTTCTAGAGCTCCATTTACTATGTTCTCCGTTGCTTCAGATTTGGCATTTCGACCATCCAACATAATAGAGATTGACTGGTTGTTTTCTTTCAAATCCTTCTTTTCATCAAAATTTTCTAGCAAAAGTTTCAGTTTCTGTCGTAAGGAATGAATCTCCTCGTCCCTCTTGGCAATTGCACTCCTCATATCTCTTAGCTGCACTGTCGTTTCAAAGAGGCTGTCCCGATTTTTGTTCTCTACATCACTGAGCTTCTTCTTAACGTCCTTGTAATTCCTCAAAATTGCAGTATATTCTGTCAATAGAATCTTTTCTCTATCCTCCAGGCCATTCTTGAACATCTCTTGCCAGTTTGGCTCATCATCTTTCTCATTTGCCACTTCTTGTGGTTCAGTGTTGACAACATTATCTGCTGTTAGGGACACACCATTTTTACCAACCTTGTCCAGTGATTGTGGGTATTCTAGTTTGATCTGATTAACTTTTTCTTTTTCTTCTTCTTCTTCCTTTTCTCCTTGATTGTTTACAGACATACGGAGAACCTGTCCATTTTTGTCTTCTCCCACTGCTGCTTTCAATTCTTTGGTGTTTATGGGACCATCTCCAGCAATACAGAGAACCTGTCCACTTTTGCCATCTCCCACTGCAGCTTTCTGTTCATTTTTGTCTTCTCCCACTGCTGCTTTCAATTCTTTGGTGTTTATGGGACCGTCTCCAGCAATGCAGAGAACCTGTCCACTTTTGTCATCTCCCACTGCAGCTATCAATTCTCCAGAATCTATGTATCCAACCTGTCGATTTTTGTCATCTCCTACTGCTGCTTTCAATTCTCCAGAGTTTATGGAACCATCTTTAGGCCTTGGCATGTTTTCTTGTAATTTGAATTCTTGTGTTTTTACTTCAGCAGATGACTCTTCTTGTTCTTCTTGTATCGACTCCATGTGCTCATGCTCTTCTTCAGGCTTCGCACCCTGTAGTTTCTCAGATAGGTGATCAATACTACAACGAGCTTCAATGAAATGTGTTTGGAGATAGTTGTTTTGGCTTTCAACATTCTGGTTTAGATGTTGAAGTCTGTTAAACTTTTCCTCCATCTCCCTCAACTTGTTGGTCAAAGTGTTCGTATCATCAATCAGAGTTATCTTATCATCTTCCAAGGTCTGGATTTGTGCTTGAAAATCGTCAGTTTCTGTCTTCAATCCATCTATGAGGGCAGTTTGAGAAGAAACTGAAGTTTCTAGGCTAATCACCTTACTCACAAGGTCATTAATCTTCTCTGCCAGTTCTGTCACAGTGAGAGATTGTTTGGGATCCACCTCAAAGTGCTCTTTAATCTTCTCCCGTAATGCATCCAATTCTTGCCTCTCTTGCGTCATGCTGCCTGCTTCTGGGTTTAAGCATTGTAGGTTCTCTCTTGATTTCGCAGCTGCATTTGCAGATTTATCATCTTTGTCATTTGGCTTTTTTTCTTCATCAGCAGCTTGTTGGTCAGGAAGAAACTTGTGCTTGAGGGAGTTGAGTTTCTCATGAACATTCTCAACCCTTCTGAACTCTGCTTTTGCTTCCTTGGTCGACCTCTCTTGTTTCTCCTGCAACTGAGTCAAGGTCTCTTCGCATGATTTCAAAGCTGCTTCTGCCATTAAAGTCCGAGCTTCGTCATCCTCAATGACCTTGCCCACGCTGAATTCATCTTGCAAGCTGAAAACTCTCTCTTGCAGTTCTGTGATCTGGTGGTCAATCTCCCAGTACTTGGTAAGCCCACTTTCGTAAGAGCTCTTCACAAACTCCTTGACAGTTTGCAGGGCCAAAATTTCTTTCTGAACCTTGTCAATTTCTTCAACTGCCTCAGATTTGCTTAAACCAGATTTTGGACCAGTTTTATTTTTATTAGATTTTGTTGCTTCTGCTGTCTTCTTCGCTTGCAGTTTCTTGGAGGCTGATGTTAAGAGACACTTCAAATCTCTGGTTGGACACTTTGGAATCTTGGGGACATTATTATTCGCTGATGATGATGAGGATGAGGAGGCGGCTGGTTGTGGAACATTCTTTGGAACTGGAGGAGGACCATAATCATCTTCTTCTTCCATTTCATACTGGACTTGTTCTGGGAAAACAGAAGCAATGGTGTTGTTGGCATTTTGCAACTCCTTGGATATATGGTCATAACGTTCAGCTAAGGCTCGGTAAGCGCGGAAAGATTCTTGAACAAAATTTATAAGCTCTGGCCTTTTCTTGTAGTACATTTCTGCCCTCTTTGCAAACGAGTCTCCATCCTCCTGAATCAGCTTGAGCGTAGTCTGCACCTTCTCTTCCATGTCTGCATAATTCCATAAAAAATTCAAGTTAGTTATAAGAGTTTAACAGAAGCTAGATAATGTGTACTCGTACTACACCCTACTTCTTTTAGAGCTTTTGTGAATGCCAGTCAAACCAAAACCACCAACTTCACAGCCTACAAGTATGAATTCTACTACTATTTCTTTCTTTGCCACTGGTCTATTTTTTAAGTTCTAGTGAAGCTCACAAAACTATCCTGTTTTATTGGTTGATAATTTGTTCATCAATACTTGCAAGATACCATCCAAATATAAAGGTAAGTTATTTAGATCTTCGATTTTAAATTCTTAACAAATGTTTGCAGCATATATGAATGGATTGCCCAAAAAAAAAATTGAAAAGCCCAAGCCACACTTTTCTTAAAACCTAGTTATTAAAGAGAGGGAAAATAGAACTTTATAACTAGCAAAGATTGGACAATTCCAAGTAATGTGGGATATATTCCAACACACCGATGGAGCCTTATAACTAGCACAGATGTGGCAACTCCAAGTAATGTGGGATATATTTCAACACACCCACAGATGGGGCAACTCCAAGCAATGTAATGTGGGACATATTCCAACACTTCGATGGAGCCTTATAACTAGCACAGATGGGGCAACTCCAAGTAATGTGGGAAATATTCCAACACACCGAGAGCAACTCCAAGTAATGTGAGACATGTTGCAACACACCCTCTTAGATCACAAGATACATTAGCCGGACAAACTAGACAGACAAACGGTACACCAGTCACTGATCCAACCAAAATTTGATACCAAATTGAAAAACTCAATTCACACTTCTCCTTAAAACTCAGATATTAAAGAGAGAGAAACTGAAACCTTATAACTAGCATAGATGGAGCAACTCCAAGCAACACATTCTAACAAAAAAACACCCCAGGATCAATAAAAAAATAATAATAAAAGAGAGAGAGAGAGAGAGAGAGATAGAGAAGAAGGTATCTCAAAATAAAAAAAAAAAAAAAAGAGAGAGAGAGAGAGAGAGAGAGAGAGAGAGAGAGAGAGAGAGAGAGAGAGAGAAGAAGGTATCTCAAAATATCATAACTTTTGTACTTGCAAACAGTTAAAATTTTATTTGAGGGTTCAATCTAAAAAAAATAAAAAATTTATTTGAGGGTCATGTTCATGTTTCATAGTATTATATTGAGTTCTGAAACTGCAAACAATATATCACTCAATGGAGGAGGGAGTCCGGCAGAAATTTTAAAAACTTAAAATTATTCAGGTTTCCAACAAGAAATTATTTTTGCAATTTACGGTAGAGATTAAAGAAAATTACTATTTTGTAAGCAAATTATAGCGGTAATCCCTACATTTTATTGTCTGTGTCATTTTGATCCCTACAGTTTCAATTGACTCAATTTTAACCTTTAATTTTAGATTTTGCGTCAATTTAATCAAATTGATAACACTGTTAGGATTTTTGACAAAAAATTATTACTGAGTTGGTTGAGATTAAGTAATTGAATTGATTAAATTTATAAGTTTGCCCCTAAAAACATGACACATGCTTCTTATTTGCACATTTGCCATAAAAAATGCTAACAATTGAAATCAATTAGAACAATTTGAGAGAAAGTAAAAAATTCAGATTAAAATTGAGTTAATTAAAATTGCAAGAATCAAAATACAACGTAATTTGTCCCCTTTTTGATTCGTTTTCTCATTAAGGAATTAGCCTCTCCACAAAAAAAAAATTATGGGATGATTTTGGGATAAATTCACATGGGGCCTCAACTTGATAAAGTTATAGGACCTAGTATTTTTTGTTATAATTTGAAAAAACAACTTGACAAATATCAACTACTAAATGATGTGAAACAATGTTTCAAGACCAGCAAATAATCAATCCTCCGCATACAATTGAGCTTAATGTTGTGTTTGGTTGGGGGATTTGGGGAGAGATTTGGAAAGGGAAATGGAAAAGGTAGGTGAAATGTGAATAAAACATGCCTATATTTCACCTAGTTTCACGCACTTTTTCCCTTTCCCTTTCCAAATCCCTCCCTAAATCCCCCAACCAAACACAGCATAAGTATATCTAATTCTTCCCCACAGTGGTACGAGTCTCTTTGGAAAGAACACTACTCCATCTAGTCATGTTCATGTTAAACTAATGAACCATTTCTAAGGCATACTGTATTTAATTTGTTATGTATTTATGTAATATATGCTGTATATTTTTGTAGTAAATATGAAGTAGTTTTTTAGTAAAACGAGGGTATGCACCTTTTTAAAAGTTTTAAATTATAAATTACCATAACTTTGTTAAAAAATTAATTAACATTTGTCACAAAATTATAATATATACCAAAAAATACATAACAAATTCCATATACACTGAGAAAATACGAGTTTCAATGAAAACCACCTTTAACCCATTGTGATTGGCGACTTGTAGGGACCAAAACAAAATTATCATCAATCCATTCACAGTTGTACAAATAAACTAAAAATTTAATATTTTTATAGTGAAAAATAAGGATAAACTACCAATAGGTTCTAATAGTTGGACTTAATTCCCATCAAGTCCTATTGAAAGTAAGTCTTAAAAATTGACAATTAGTGACTTTTTTGTCATGATTTTTATAAATTGTTGCTAAAATTTATAATTAGTAATAATTTTTTATGATAAATTTTTCCTATATGACCTATTAGATAATAAGTCTATTTATTAGGACCTATATGTAAGTATCCTGAAAAATAAACATTGTAGTCATTTTTTTTTTTTTTGGTATTTTTTTTTTTTTTTTTGGCCATCAATCTAGAGTGACATCTGGAAGAAATTTATTCAATATTTAAAACTTTCCATAGTTTTAGATAAAAGGAGACAAATTAAAAAACAAAAGAAGATATATAACAGGTTAACGGGTGGTTGCGTGTATTCGAGGAGAGTAAATATGAATAGAGGCAATAGGCATCTACTTTTTATTTATTTATTTATTTATTAATTTCAACTGTGATAAAATTCAATTACAACAAAATTGGAAATTAGATATTGGTAAAAAGATATGAAATATTAGAGTAAGATGTTAATGACATACATAATAAGGTATCATTTGGCATTTGATTAAAATATTTAAAAAATTAAAATATTATTATAAATTTTCGTATTACCCTCTATTTACTTTATTGAATATCAACGAAAACCAGGTGGAGGTTTTGAATAATAATAATAATAATAATAATAATAGATACCTTGAAGGCTTTGGTCGAGCCATTTGGATTGCTTTGTCCTGATGTGGCTTGCCCACCACCATGAATATGCATTGCTTGCAGCTCTCTGCAGCATCTCTCCAATTTGATCTTCTTTTCTCTCTCTCTCTCTAAACCACAAACATGAAACTCTTTCTCTCTCCAAACAAGGTTATACAACAACACAGAGAGAGAGCCCTTTAAGGTTTAGGAAGAGAAAAAGAGTTTCATAAAAAAGAAAACATGTTTTTTGAGTTATGAGAAGAAACTTGGAAAAAAAGGGAGGGAATGAATGTCTCTCTGCAGTGGGAGGGAGGGGCTTCCACCTAATTATGGGATCATGGTTGGGAGCTACGTTCGCCCGCAATAAGTGTTGGACCTTCCATTCAATAAATATAAATAAATAAAGCCAGCCAATCACCCTTTTCCAATTTGTCAATGTGGCACCCACTGGCTGTGCCAGGTTGGCACTCACTCACATAAAGAAATTACGTAAATTACAGTATATATTTTTTGAAATTTGCTTAAAATAGAGACTGTCCCTACCGTTTAGAAAATTACAAATTTCAGAATTTTATTTAACACAATTAGCAGAAAAAATGAATTTTATAACTTTTTTTTCATATAATAATAAAATTATCTAAATTATTAATTAAAATATATTTTTGATGTTATTAAAATTGCTAAGTAATTTAATGATTTATTAATAAAATAGATAATTTGTTATGCGATTAGAAACTTGAAAGGACGTGATGTAATTTACAAAAGGGTTAGGCTCCTCTCATGTTCACATCTTAACATGAGAGAATTTGAGGGGGTCGTGGAGTTCACCATCAGTCCCGTTTTGATAATTCGAATCATTCACTTTTTAAGACTCGCTGAGTATAATAGTTATGCAAAAAAAATAAGATAATCAGACATAATGTTTGAATCAAATTTTTATTACAAAAAATGGATGGTTATTATTTAAATTATATTTGTTGTTTATATTTTTTAAACAAATATGATTCAAATATATAGCTACCGATATCCAATCATCTTAATTTTTTGCATAAATATTCTACTTAACAAGTTCAAAAAAGTGAACAGTTCGGATCACCAGAATTGGTTCCAAAATGAGCCTACCAAACATAAACGCCCTCTTAAGTTGAGATGACAACTTGAGAGTTACAAAATCATAGAAAACAAATTTTAAATAAGAGTGTTACTATTATCACTCAAATTAATACTTTAGACTCCTCATTTCTTTAATCTTTTATCTACAAAATTTTGAAAATCCTAAAAATTTCTAAGAACATGTCAAATAGTACCAAATGTATTATTCTAACAACATCACACCTACCAAAATGCACAACCTTTAACACAACCCATAAAAACACTTCATCTTCCAAAAAACCTTAACTGTTGAATTCTCACCATAAAAACACCATATTAATTTTATTATTGGTGACCAATTTTTTCCTCACCAAAAGTCTGAAAATTTGGCACCATCCGAAAAATTAGCGGGAAAATCTTTAGTGACAAAAAAAATATAAATAATGACGAAAAATAATTTATAACCCCCATTGGCTAGGGTCCAAATCATAGTCAGACTAGAGTGATGTTCAAAATTCAAACAATACACAACTTTTAAATAAAACATTCGATATTTTCAGAATAAACGTTTAGTACAATTTTCAGAATAGTTTCACCAAATATTCAAATAATTTTCATAATAATATTCGATGTTGTTTTATACTTGACCCATATTTTATTTTAAGAGAACACGAAGGCTATAAATAAATATTTATAATTTTAAACGATTCAGTAGGAATAAAAATGAACCAACAGTGATAGAGGGTTACTTACCTTCAAACAGCTAAAATAATATTTTCCAAGCTAATCTCAATTTACCAAGATCCACCTCAATCTCACAAACCTAATAAAATATTACACCGCATAAACAATTATTATGTGCACCCATCCATCTCTTCTTGTAACAACAATAGAATAAATTAACCCAATAGTCTATTAGGAACTCCCACGATTTAGCATCAAAACAAATAAATAACCCCCATTGAAATTCTCAACCCATACTATTCTCTTGTTGTTTATATACATGTAAATATTTGTAATTGCTTGTAGTCAATCGTGTATCCCACAAATACACCACCATTAAACTTAACCCATCACATATCAATCTCAAAATATGAACCACCCAAATGGGATGCAAAATATACTTTAAAATTGAGTGAAACCGAGACCCCCAACATAGACTACATCAATATATCTATCTAATCATATATGCCCATAAAATCATCTATTGATATATTAACACCAAAATCATAGATAAGAATACAATAAAATAAATCTTACCTAAGTGATGAATAAAGCAAGACCACCACTCTTATGAATCCTCCCTCTTCCTTGGTTTGGGTTTCTTTTCTTTAATTTTAAACTTTTCCAAACCCTTGCCTGCTACCTTCACCTTTAACTCTTCCAAACCTTTTCTGCAGCACAAGCCTCTCTTCTCTTTTTCTTTTCTTTTTTTTTCTTTTACCTTCTCAAACCCTAGCCGCCTATGGAGCAATTCATAGCCTCTGTTTTGTTTGTTTTCCAAGACTTAAAGCCACAATAGGTGGGCTTATTAACCTAATTTCTCAAAGTTACAAAATTACCCATCTAAGTAATAGGAAATATAATGCCATCTCATAACTAATTCTTTGATATTAATAAATGACTCATATAAGTTAATTTAATTACTAATCTATCCAATAAAATAATCCTACACACAACTTGGGTTTTACATCAGACATAATGTTTGAATCAAATTTTTATTACAAAAAATGGATGGTTATTATTTAAATTATATTTGTTGTTTATATTTTTAAAACAAATATGATTCAAACATATAGTTACCGATATCCAATCATCTTAATTTTTTGCATAAATATTCTACTTGACAAGTTCGAAAAAGTGTACAGTTCGGATCACCAGAATTGGTTCCAAAATGAGCCTACCAAACATAAACGCCCTCTTAAGTTGAGATGACAACTTGAGAGTTACAAAATCATAGAAAACAAATTTTAAATAAGAGTGTTACTATTATCACTCAAATTAATACTTTAGACTCCTCATTTCTTTAAACTTTTATCTACAAAATTTTGAAAATCCTAAAAATTTCTAAGAACATCTCAAATAATACCAAATGTATTATTCTAACAACATCACACCTACCAAAATGCACAACCTTTAACACAACCCATAAAAACACTTCATCTTCCAAAAAACCTTAACTGTTGAATTCTCACCATAAAAACACCATTAATTTTATTATTGGTGACCAATTTTTTCCTCACCAAAAGTCTGAAATTTGGCACCATTCGACAAATTAGCGGGAAAATTTGTAGTGACAAAAAAAATATAAATAATGACGAAAAATAATTTCGTCACCTAATTTTTTTATTATGTATGCAGATTGGTGACGAAATTTTATTTTTGTCTCTAAAAATGGTACATTTGAAGACAAAAAATTATTTTCTTCACTAAAAGGTACGTCTTTCGTAACAAAATTTATTTTTGTCATTAGTTTTTGTCTCCAAAGACACTTTTTGTTGTAGTGATTGAATTCAAGCTTCATCTCACCGTCAATTATTGAACTCTTACCTTGAACTCAAGTTTCCTTTCACCTTCAATAAAGCTCCACCAACAATCTCCGTTTGCCATCAATCTCTCCACCATTGATCTTCTTCATAGCTGATCTCTCTCTGTCGTCGATCTCTTTGCCGCTATTTTCGGACTTATGTTGCCAAACAAACTTTCCATGTTTGGACCTATGTTACTGAACAATTTGTATATATTCAGACATGTGTTGTCAAACATTATAAAAATGTAAAATCCTATGTTTGTAAACAAGTTCAAAATTTAATAAACAAAGATAAGTATGCATGAACCAGTTTGATTAACAAATAAAACTAAAGTTCGTCGCATAATCAAAACATAAATATGTATCAAGATTATATCCAAAGTGTCGAACATATGAATAAAAAAGTTCATATTCAAGATGCCAGACATATGAATAATGTTCGATTAAACATTATTGAATTATTACCTTTAATTCAACCTTGTGTTGCTATGTTATGATTAAGTGGGTGAGTGGGTTTAATTGTGAGATAGGATATTCCAAACCAATTCATGTCATTTTGAGTAATTTCATTTAAGATTATTATTGTAATAAAAAAAATACAAGAAATGAGAGATATAAAGTATTAATTAGGGTGCTAATACCAACCCTCTAAATGGGAGGTGTAATGAACTAAAAGTATTGTGCAAGTAAAATTTACTTTTTTCTTAATGCTAAATGAATTCTTGTATCCTAAATTGCCTTTCTTTGTTTCTTAATATATCTATACTATCATTCTCTTTTATTTTTTAATGATTCGTAAATCATTTATAACTGTCTATATATATATATATAATTGTTCTATTTTAAGTACACTCATATAAAAAATGCCTAATCACAAAAGGGTGACATTTGGAATTAGATCTTAAGTAGCCGAGGCCGCAAAGGTCACTCTTAGGTAGTGCTACATAGCAAGATCACTCAACCATGAATTACACTCCTGACATTATGTATGGTTCGCTCAGACCTAAAAGGTTCGTCCTATTAAACGTATGTGTTATTGCCCGAGTGATTAGTCTTGAGGAGAGTAGAACCTAGGATCTCAAAGTTTATGCCTCAAAACCTTACCAAATTACCACAATCCCTTGAGTTTTATGTACACTCATATGAATATGTACACTTAGCAACTCTAAAATACATATAGAAGCACGAATGTTTCATAAGTGGTGGGACTCAACATATATGTGTCGTTATGTAATTGATCTATGTATTTTTATTATTGTTGGTATTGCAAACTCCACTTGCTCCAAATTTTTTATTTTTTCATTTATATTTTTAGAAAGTCCTTAAAAATTATTTTTAGTAAAAATTTTAAAATATGGTGAAACGCCAATAAATTTCAAATAATAATCTTATAAACTATTTAGTCCTATCTTTTTTCTTATAGACTCAAAGGTTCTATTTTAGTGTGAATTACATACAAGGCTAAACATAAATGAGCATGTGTTATGTATTGAGGGACAAATGCGAGTTTTCTCAAAATATTGAAATTACCAAACGCAATACTTCAAAAAAACTCATTAGTGTAACGCCCCAAAATTCATGACCAGAAAAAAAAGAGAAAAAAAAAGAGTACATAATACAACTCAAACAAGATAGATAA